GAATGTGGAATGAGACTCATTTGCTCATCATCACTGAGGTGAGCTGGGTTGTTCGATACTACTTGCTCACGGGGTTCCGTCTCCCGATGGGTTCTGGTTGATGACGGAGGCTGGTACTGCCTGGGTTGATCTGGAAGAGGTTGAAGGGAAGCGTCCGAGGTGAGCGTGGAGAATCGTCCCAAAGAACGCTTTTGGGGAGAATTAGGCCGGGTTAGCACGTGGTAATTCTCCATGATTACTTTAAGAAGAGGTATGCTTCTGAGAGAGAAAAACTGAGTATGATTGATTGTAGAACATGGATGGATGGATGATTGTCGCCTCTTTCATATGAACATACGGGAGCCGTGGCCTGTACTTAAGTAGGTATTTTTACTACTGACACATTTGTATGACAGGCAACTTACGCAATCGTCGGAGCCTTCATGTACTTGCAGAGAATGATGTGACTTCAAAGCTGATGGCGGACTGCCGAGCCTCTCTTGCAGCCTTTTTGCATTTCTAAGGTAACACGAAATCCACAGCCTGCATGCCGCACCCTTCGCATGCCTTGAAATTACCCAAGTATTTGTCTTCATGTAAAGCCTTGCCTACTTGGCATTCTACGCAACGTCTCTTCACCACAGAAGCTATAGGCAAATGCTAGTACATCTAAATTCCAATAATTTGAGCTACAGTCGGGCTTACAACGGCATGCGAGAGCTTGATCAAGACCGTTCACAGAGATAGCGCCTCATCACGATTCATTGGTGGTTTAGGTACATGTCAAGTCAAGATCCGCAATCACTTCTGTTGCCTCTCGTATCCATTAGCACATGCAATTTTCTAGCGCCTTCAGTGGACCTTATGGTCCCCTTTCCTGTACTTCCAACGAGAATTGGGAAGCACACGGCGATCTCTCCGTTAATGAGGCACACTTCTGCCAATCAGGACAGTTACGGCTGGGGAAAGATAAGGCACATCAGCCTTGAAAGTAAGCATACAGGCCTTGGCAAGATGCACGCTGCTTAAAATATCCTGGGCTGAAATCCCATGCATATCGGTCGGTGTGAATGACCTGCATGGGTGTACACATTAAAGCTACTGACGTATTAGAGGACGACTCTTACAGCGCGATTGAGAATGAAGCAGACCACATCGCGTTCAAAATATAAGTCGTCAATGAGACGAGAGTAAACTCTAATTTGCACTGCGTCATGAGGAGAAGATCGAGGAGAGATAATGTCGATGGCTGAGCTGCGATTCATTGAGCTGTAGACTGGAGTGTCGGCGGTTCTGCAATCGCTCGCGCTAAAGCAAATCGGAAATCATGAATTTCGGTCGTGCATCTCTTCTGGCCGCACCATACCCAGGCGACTACCAGATTGAAATATGACAACCTCTGAACTATGTTCAAGATGTCTTGGTAAAATTACATCTCAGCACAACAGTGCCATACATTTCCATAAATGAGACTATACCTACTCCGCTCTAGTATTGTCGCCTCTTACAAGAGACGGCGCCCTATGCGAAACTAATGTGTTGCGTTATTGCACACATGCATTCAAGATCGAGGAACGGCGAAGGTCAGATTTAGTATACAGTCCCTGAATGTTTGTAAACGTGGTGCTTAGGCCCCATAAGTGCATATGAGATGCTGGGGTGTTTTGACGAATTGCATATCCCTCTGGCTCAAGTTCATGGGTATCTTTCTTTTTCGGGCTGGCAACTAAGGTACATGACATTCGGCACTAGACGCGGTCAGGAGCTCAACCAAAACAAACCAATTCCAACAAAGAAGAATTTTGACGGAACTTCGTACAACTCTCCATCAAATATCCTCCCAGCCTCTTTACAATGTCCATCGAAGCATTCCCTCCAGAGCTGCTCGAGCACTGCTTCTCTTTTCTTCCCACCCCCTCCCTCCCTGCCGCCGGCCACGTATGCCGCTCTTGGTGGTCTCCAGCCCGAGAAGTTCAGTGGCGCCGGCGGAGGATCCATTTAACGGCCCAGACTGCCGAGAAGCTCGCCGTCCTTCTAGGCCCCGGCACGACGATCCCGCAAATGGTCGAGGCTATTTGTGTTGATGAACCAATTGACGCTGAGGCGATACAAGCCTTCAGAGAGAATGTCATTACCATCATGAACCACTTTCACACATGTTCTGATTTGGTTCTCGACAATTTTGGCCGCTGTAACCTTTCCGAGAGCCAGCAGCAAGAGTTCCTCAGACAGGCGCGACCCCGTAGATCGCTCATTGTGAAGTGGCTGATAACCAATGATTTGAGTCGGGCGATGGAGATTGTTCTGGACCAGCCTGATATCAGTTTTCTGGGCGTCGGTCTGGTATCAGTGGAGGGGCCAGTTCTTAACGATGGGGCGGAAATCCTGCGCCGTTGGAAGGAGCATAAGATCGAAAACACTGAGAACGAAATCGCTTCCATTGCTGTACGGCTGGGAAATCTTCGAGCCCTGTGTCTTTACTCGGCTGAGGGGCCGCCCCTCGACGGCACACATTGGGTTGTACGAAAAGTCTGGCCACACATTGTTCCGGCGCTATCGAGAGCCAGACTCCCAATGCTTGAGACTCTCGTTGCCGAATCTCCACAGGGAACAAGAGAAAACCTGGAGCGATTGATTCGCGCCACGGCTGCAACACTTCAATCTCTGGCTGCATCTTTCGACGATCCTGGTAACAATCGCTCCCACTACACACGTTTCCCAGGACGCTGACATCCATTAGGCAACTTGGTCCTTCCGGAGATGCCCTGTCTTAGAAACCTAAGTATCAACCTCCGCACCCCGGGCCGAGGAAACCTAGGCAACACAGGCGTCGCTTCAGCCCTGGCCACGATCTCTTCAGCCCCGGCTACTCTGGAGCACATATTCCTACATCTCATGACTAGCCCGCAGTACAGGGACAGAGATCAATGGCAGGAACTGGATGCGATCATGGCAGGGATGCCATGTCTGCGCCGGATCACCATCATTGGTTACACACCTGGGTTCTTCGCTGCCGGGCTGATAGACAACGAGTTCTCTCGCGAACCCGCAGAGGCTGAACGGGGATTAGCCGTGCTGCGTGGTGAACTGGATGTTTGCCGTAGCAAAGGTCTTATTGAGGTGAAGAGGGTGGAGGGTCGGTCTTGGAGTAGACATGCTTTTGCGGATTATGACGTAGGAGAGATGGAAGATAGAAGACGGACATTCAGGTACCACGGTGAAGTTGCATGAATGTATAATATTCACAGCTACGTGTCTTGTAGTCATGTCATAATACAAGTTCCTAACGAGGAAGAAAACAGGAGCCTTCAATGTCACTGAAACCCGATCTTTCGTTGCCAAACCAAGCTTAACCATCGCGAAGGACAGCATCTCTCTCAAGCCTCCCCGCTCCCAAACAGCTTCTGCACCACGCCAGCATTCTCCCACGCCCTACTCATCAACCCCCAAACCCTCTTCGTCCCCAAACTATCCACAAACTCCACCACGCGACTAATCTTCCCCTCCTCGTCCACCGTCAAGAAGAACATGTACTCCCCGACATAATCCCACTCCGTGCCATCCTCACCCTCCTTCAGCCCCTTCACCTCGTCCTTGAACTCCGCCACGGCAGTCGCCCAGATCAGGACCTGGCGTTTGGGCACGTTCACGTTGATCTCCTTGACCGTGACGGGGAAGCCGGTCATGATGAGCCGGAGCTTGGCTAAGTGCGCCGCCAGCTCGACGTTCGTCATTGGCGGTGGCGAGCCCATGGAGGCGGGTGCGAAGGTGTGCGTGCAGGAGGAGGCGCGGAGAGAGATATGCGCGGCGTCTTCGAGAGTGTCGAAGGCGCGGATGAAGGCGGTGCCGACTTCTTGGAGGGTTTGTTCCGTCATCATGATGTTTGCATTCAGGTTGGTGGTGACTTGTTCGGGCTGTTTCGACTTTGATTTATTGCAATTGTGGATGTGATTTATATGTCGGGATACCGAACTGGAGTTAAGCATCGTAAATTCCGGACCAAGTTGTATCGAGTCGCGCTCAGCGTCATCCTAAGTCCGAGGCGTGATCGCCGCTCATTGCTCCATCCACTATCAGTGGATTCAAACAAATCGGGCGGGGTTCTTCTCGACAAAATGGCTCTGCATTATGAGGATAAAATAGCAATGTATTTTACCAAGGAGACATGAAATTTATGTGGGTTTTGCTGTTTGGACGGGACTGAGATAGAACAACAGGGACAACGTCGACAGCAGCAACAGTGATATGCCAGTAGTAGCAGTAACAAGATTTATATTCACATCAACATTCAGGATAATAATCCAAGTAAGAAAAGAGATCAACAGTGAGTATATTTGTCGTCCACTTGGGCAGCAAACTCTCTCATAGCCCAACTAATTATGAAAAGGAGTCAAACGTCTCAGCAAGTCTGACGATGACATGGTGTTTGCTCAGTCAATTCAATCAGGGCAAGCATGGTATAAACCTCAAAAAGAGAGGTGATATGAAGTCCATCAGGTTTGTGGGCATTATAACACGTCCGTTCTCAACTTCTGTGGCTCGTCTCGTGTAATCTATCGGCCACGAATTTCTTCAGAAATTGTTCAAACGTACATCAGTCCTTCTCAATTGCTCGTACTAATTTTGGAAAGTTGATGTATCAGATTCATTCACGGCGATGGCGTGCTCCTGCAGAGATGTAGTTCGAATACTCACAGCGCGCTATGGTAAGCGCATAAAGCAACAACATCATACCGAGGGGGAGGTTCTTTCATGACAAAGGAGAGGGATGGCAAGCTTATTCCGTTGCAAGGGCTTCGAAGTTGAACTGTGATACTTAATATCAACTGCTATCCATACTTGAGGTTCGCCGCTCTGACGTATTGGCCATCGAATTAACGTCATTTCTGTTCGTGTTCTTATTTTCATTCTGTTTGCGACGTTCACTTTCTAAAGCAACGACACAAATGGTCTTCAACGCACTGTACTGACTGGCCAAAAAAACGATCATACCAACGGAACACAACCTACTTCTCGCAACCTCATTCCGAAGAATCACTCGCAACCAAAGTCCACCCCGCAACACCCACCCCCAGCTCCCCCTCGACAACCCCAATCACCTTCCTCAAAACACCCAACATCTCCTGCGTACAAAACACCCGCACAAGCCCCTCCTCGCCCATTTTCCTCAACCTCTCCCTCACAGCGACCACGGCATCAAACTCGCTGCCCTCAGGCTCACCCGCAGCAGCGACGATCGCCACGTCAACCCGCTCCGCGACCTCGTCCGCCAGACTATCCAGGACCGCGCCCCGCACATCCTCGACGAAGCGCGCGCGCTCGAACTCGAAGTTGTCGTGAACGGCGGCCTGGATCTGGGACTGCAGGGTGTTGGCGGCTTGGAGGGACTGGAGGTACCGGCGGTCTGGGGAGGTGTACGCCCCGTTTCGCATTTTGACGTCGCCTTCGGTGTCGAGGGAGCGTTTGGAGGCTGTTGAGGAGGGGGTGCGCTTGGAGGCATTTGAATGGGGGTCGCGGCGGGCGGAGGGCGAAGGGGTCTTGGGGGAGGAAGGGTTTGAGGTTTTGTAGTATGGAGTCGAACGAGGGGGAGTTTGAGAGGTTTGTTGTGAGGGTGGTGTTCTCGGAAGGGAGGGCTGAGAGTCAGGTTCGGCGATGATTTTGAAGGTGCGGCGGGGCAGGAGAGGGAGGTTCAGGAAGTTGAAAGGAGGGAGGGTCTGTGTGATGTTAGTGAAGGGGTCTTCAGGAAGGCAGGAGGTAGGTTTGGGGGTGGATTTCGGGGAAGGCATCGTGCTGGTTTGCTGGTTAGCTGAATCTGTATTTGAGCAGTGTAAAGTTCGTGATGGTTATGCTAGCAATGTTCTTGGTCTGGCATCTTCTGGATGCTACATAAATCTTTTTCACGCCTTGGACGTTACGGTGTTGAGTTGAAAACAGTCACGCATCGTGAAACCCTCATCCTGAGAGATTCACTTCAAAATTCCAGTCACTCAGACCAAAGAGCAAGCCAGAGGACCTTGGCAATACATTGGGTGATCTCACATTGAGGACTGGACAGCTTGACCTAAGCACCTGCGAGGATCACTCGATCCTTCCGAACTTCTTCCGGAACTTCGATGGGAAACAAGCCTGGCTAGCCGTTGGGCAGCGTGGCCACGTCATTCTCAATCCATAGGGTAGATCAGTGACAAGCAAATTGCTGACTCGTCAGAAAACCAGCGTCGTTGTTTGGGCGCATCCAGCCAGCGGCTGACTGGGAACCACAATGCCAACCTCCAGTCCCCCACTCGCTTCGCATAAGTTCCACCCAGGGGCTGACGAGGGACAAGAAAGAAAAAAGCTGCATTTGATGACAGCTTCGGCTAAGCAAACAGCCATTTGCCACGCGCATATCCGTCAAGTTGTGTGAGTCGTTTGACTCCCCTCGCCGACTTCCGAGGTATAAAAAAGGGATGAACTTGTCCGCCCACCCGACCGGCCGAACTGAACCGGCCGACAGCGTTTGCAGGTGTTTTCGTAGGGCAGGTGAAGACCGGACGGCGGGAATAGGCTAGACTGGCGCGGACGCTGCAGGGTCCTGTCAGTGCACAGATGCGGGTGGATGAGATCCTGCAGGCAGACGGGCGGAAGGCCCTCCGCGTGTTGATGGTGTGCTGGCTTGCGCCCGTGGTTGTTGGCGCTGGGCTGCCCAGCTCATCTGCGAATGTACGTCTGCGACACATGGTGCAGTCGGTTGCTGCAATTTTGTTTTGTGCAATCCGCTCGCATCCCACCCCTCCTCTTCCGAACACGAGCAGCAGCGAGCAGCGGCGTTCATGCCCAGCTGCTGTGTCGGCGATCATTGAGGCAGGCTGGGGCCGGGAGCGCCGGGTTCTGGACTTGGGATTCGCCGTTTAGATGTAAACAGCGCAGTCCGGTGCGGTGCCTCTGGGCTCAGCAGCTGAACAGCAAGGAGGGGCAGGTCGGGGTTTGAAAATTTGCGGTCTGGGAGTGCGACTGCATTGCGAATGCCAGTGTACTCTGTATTGCCCTCTCAATCCCTCGGAACTGATGCCATCTAAGGTATCCAGATCAACATAATCTCCTCCTTGAAGCGACAGGAAAGTCGCAGGCATATGTGGCAGTCAAACCGGGCCGGTCCAATCTCGAGGCGACAGTCCAGACACTGCGTCTCAGTCTGCGACAGGTTGAATGGTCGGTGATGAAAGTTGTCGCTGGGGTGAATTGTGATTTTTGACCGTATTTCCCGAGGTCGTTTGTCGTCAGTGCCTAGACCATGCTGGGTCTTGTTAGTTAAGAGGGTTGCAGTTGGATTTGCAGATTTGCAGACGGCGCCCGCGTTGGGGTCTCGGCTGGAGGAATATGAGGAGAAGCAGCAGCGGTCTTCGGACAGGGAACAGGGGACGGGGCACAGCAATCCGCCATGTCGATCAGCACTCTGCACGGCAGGTCTGAGGTCAAACAGAGCCAATCCGCAGCGCGGTTCGTCTGGTCAATCGCGATGACTGTGGTGGTGTTGTATGAGCGAAGATTGCCGCTGGACTGCTGGCGATGTCACTACGCGGGTTGTCGACTCGGGTTCGCAGACGATGCATGTGACGCCTGCTACCAAAAACAGCATCTCTTTCCGCTCGGGGAAAAACGCAAAAGAGACAACGAAAATGAGCACGGGGAGTCCCAAGGGAAAAAAAGAATGGGGATGTTGGAAAATGGATCGAAAATGGATCGAGAACACGGCCACTGCGAAAATTGTGAGGGCGCACGGGAACACTCGGGGATGGCAGCTGCTACCACTCGCAAAGTCACTTCCTGCCCAAAACAGGCGGGAGGTACCTGATATGATGACCCGGCTGCCTATTGGCCGCGGGTGGGGCCGGGTGGACCGTGCTGCTCGTTCGATTGGGGGAAGGAATGGGCTGTTGGTCGCGACGTTCGACGCTGCAGCGAAATCAGACCACTTTGGCCGCTTCTCGACCCAAGCCCTCCTTCCTACAACCGCAACCTGGCTCCCCAACGACCTGACCCTCATCTCGCTCATTGTCGCCGGCATCATTCAGTCGCCCTCCGGCCTGCATGTCCAATCTCTGAGGCTGAATTGGAAAACTCTGCTGTGGCCATGTCCCTTCATTGTCCGATGGATGTCCTCGCTAGGCACCGGACGCCCTCCCGCGGCCGGACAACGGAGTCAAGTCGCAAAGCAACTACGATCCGTCACCGGCATCGTCGATGCATCTCCGTTACGGATACCGCTTGTCTATCTGACGTCGCCGATGGATGCTACCATCGCTACTGCTGCTATTGTTGATGCTACCACTACGGATATTGCTGTGGCTGTTACGGATACTGCACCTCAGCTCAGCTGTGGCTCGTCGCTCCTCGCCGCCGAGGCCGAGGCCTCTTCCACAGCCCAGCTCCTTCGGCTCCGTCTCCCGGCATCTTCGGGTCTCCACGACCGGACGCCAGCTTGCACATCCTCCAGCCCATCCTCTCCACCAGGGCAACTTGACGTTTAGCTTGAGAGCTGCAATCAGTACCAACCAGCCGCTCGGGTCTGCCAGCGCAGCACATCACCACGCACATCACCGCCCAGAACATGTCACTCATGCCTTGTTTGGTATGGCGTACCCCAGAGACCGACGTCCTGACTCTCATCCTCGAAGCACTCGTCTTCCAGAACTTGGTTGGGACCTGGCACATTCGTCGTCCGTGCCAGGGAAATGGAATCCCAAGTGGGAAGTGCGTGGGAGACGTGGGCGGGCGTGGGAGGGAGGGGACCCTGGAGATCTCGATCCCGCGGCGCACGCTGCCTGCCATGGGCCACCTGTCAACCCGTTTTGGACCGTTTGCGCTCCCAAAGTACATGCACCAGCACGCATGTCAACGACTCTCGACAGTCGACTGGAAACACGCTGCCGCCAAAACATCTTCATCAAGCAAGGCACGACGACATCGACACATGCACCTTGCACGCGATACCCACAGCCAGCCCACGCCATCACAGCGACCGCATGCACGTCAAGAACATGCCCAGCCCTCGGATTCCCATCAATTCCCGTCCATCAACACCAATTTCCCCTTCACCGGCCCCGTTCGCCAATTATGTAATGTTTGACACCTCACTTTTTTGACGCCGTCAGGAATTACATGCGCTCCATCTCGGCCGATGAGGACGGGATCTTGGTTCTGAGGGGTCTCGGGACATTGCCAACTGACGTCCTGGGGTGGTCCCTTTTGGGGGTCCCTGCGATCCAGATTCATCCCATTGCATGGCATCGCACGAGATTGAAGCATCCGAACCAAGGTCTTGAGGCCGTGTCCAAGGTTTTGCGACAACTGAAGCGGCTCGCAATTTGAGGGCATCGAGAGAATGACTAGCGACAGAATTGCTGATGGCCAGATCTTATGCAAGATGATGACGGCCGGGGCAGAACATCGCAAAGAAACCGCTCGCTTCCGACGCCCCATGGCCTCATGTGCCCGTACTCGCAATTTAGCTTGAGGCTTATTGCCCGGTAGCTAGCCAACGCTCAAAGTTGGCAACGGCTTTCCCCTCCCCGCCAAGCTACCAATCCGCCCCTCTATCGTTCTATCCTCTTTCCATCTCGTTGTGTCCCGGTCCGGGATTTGCCCATCCACCCCGGACCCTGTCACCGTTCCGAGCTCGCTCTCTGATGTCTCTGTTCTTAGTCAGGGCGCGGGACTCGAGCCTGCTTGGTGGGCAAAAACATTGTCTCACTCAAGACTGCGCTGCGCAGCTTACACCGTTTCTCTCCGTTCCAGATCGCCTGCAACCGCCTTGTATCGGAATCACATCTCCTAAGCACCAGATGTGCTTTCCCATAGCACCAGAAATCCACAAGTAAACGCAGAGCACAGCAGTTTCCGCGGTTGGGTGCCATGGATCAGGGATGACATAGGGCCACCGGGCGGTCACCTCTCTCCGGCGGCCCCCTAGCCTCTCCCAATATCCCTACCAGGTACGACGTCCTAATGGACCGCTTGCCGACTCGGGATCCTCCCTCGTGCATGTGTCAAAGTAAACTCCACAGCACATCTTATGTCAATCATCAGTCTTTCCACCGTCGGATCCGTCCGCCGCACCATCCCAAGCATCCACCCCCCGACGTTCTCGTCGTTTACTGCTGTGCTGCTGGGCAAGTGACCGTCATCCAGGTCCTCTCTGCTCCCCCGGGGTGTACAATGTGTGCTCGCCGCACGAGCTGCCGTAGCGCACACCCGCAGTCGTACCTTTTTCTGTCACTTGTCCCTTGTCCATGGGCCGGTCGTATGACGAGCCCGTCCATCGCCAGTTTTGCTCGCCGTTCCAACCCGCGCCCGCCTTACCATGGCCCTCATCACCCCCAATTCTCGCCAGGTGGCCCACCCTATGCTACGCCGCGGAGCTCTACCCCGGCCGCCCTCTGCCAAGCAATTGGGAAACGCACCTCTTTTTTTGGTTTCTGCATTTTCATCGAGTTGTAGGTATATAGCTTTGTCCCTCCGTCGAGTAGTCTCCCCACCTGTCCTATGCTCGAACCATCAGCCTCAATCGCCAAAGTAACATCATCATACAACTACACATCTCGCCATCCGGCACTTGCACACACACACACACACACACCTACACACATATCTGGTCTTCACTCCCTCCGAGTAACGCCACCACTTCACACACATCTTCAATCAACTCACCACCACAACAACCCCTGGACACATCTACCTCTCCATGAATCGAACCATGGCCCAACAACAGTCCTTCGATTACTATCAAGTACCCCAGATGCCTCAA